ATTACTTATATTTTTAATATCCAAAATATTGCAAAAAACTTGACTCAATTTATATTCAGCGGATAATGTGAATAAATGTAGTGATATAAAAATTAAAAAATAATACTTCACACCAAAGGTATTACGCAAGTATACATATCATTTCAAGTAATATAAGATTTTTCTTAAAAACTCCAGTATCGATCCCACGAGAATAGTTGAACTATTTAAATTGGCTTGCTAAACTCAAATGCAAATTTTATCTAAATTGCATATTTAAATTAAAATGAAATGAAAACAATAGTTAAGACTAAATTAAAGTAGATAAAAACAACTATAACTAACAGCTTAATAAAAGTAATTCTAACGAGTTTGAATAATATGTAAAAATCTTTTCACTTGCAATGAGATATTAATCTATGTAGGATTTGAATGAGTAAAAGTATGATGATGTATTGTGACATAGGAGCATTCCTATTTTTTACCTTCTCACGGTGCTAGCAAAAAACATTGGCTAATTTAGAGTTTTTCATCAGCTTGTGTAGTAGTCATGAATAGATTCTGGTCTCTCATCTTCAGATCACCCACTGTGCCCTCTTTATAGGACCTACTAGGGACCCTTACGATCCAAACTCTAAACCTAATTTGAAAAAAAATCTAGTTTGTCACCCTAGAAACATCAATTCTGAATCCATCAAAATTTATCTCTCTACTATTTGCACTCCCCCTTAGGTGATTGCAATGGCTCTGCCCAGAATGAAATGTGACACTCACCAGTTGGGTGAAATCAATAGCCCACCCGGGTCTTTATGTTTCTCAACAAATTTAAACCTCACAATTGACCAATTTGTAAAGTCAATGAAGAATCGGTGAAAATGTTATCACAACTTTTAAAAGTAAATAAAAATCTTTAAATCATTCTCATCTCACAAGATTAATTCCCAAGAGCAAGGAGAAAAATTGAACTACTCAGAATTCATGTAGACTAAAATAAAATCACCAAATTTGTATTGAAATCCAAGTCTTAGAAACAAAAACTTAAACACAAATACAAAGTACCTTGTCTTCTCCATAACATAAATTCTGGAGTCTATTTGAAGAAATCTCCAAACTCTTACTATTACAACACAAAACACAGTAAAACATATACTTAAACACTAAAGTGGGACTTCAAATGCTGCCAAAAAGTACTCTATTTCGTTCAATTTTCGTCCATATTAATAGATCTCTGAAAATAACTTAGGGTTGTTTCAAACACCCCTTAAAAATTCAACCTAATTCAATGGATCTTGTAGAAAGGTAGTTATTGGCGCTATAGCGTCAGTCTGGGTGTTATAACGCCCATTACCCGCGTCTATGGCGCTATAGCGCCGGGGGCAACACTATGGTGTCATACCATTTTGCACCTCCTTTGCTCATTTTTCCCTCATTTTCTCTAAATATCTATTTTATGTACCTGAAACCAAAAATATGCAAAATATCTTCTTTTAAAGTGAAATATCACTAAAAATATGCATGAAACGATCATAAAATATGCACTAAAAACAGTTAATTTTAAAGTGGATCAGTGAACACATTATTATCGTGCATAATACTGTGTCGGTACACCTCACATTCAATAAAACCCACACATGCGAGGTTACTTAATAGGTTGATTGGCCATTAAGTAGATCTAGCTTCATCTTGAAGTGAGCATACATGCATGTTCATGTGCACCAATTATATTTGAAATATTTCATATTGCATAAGAAAAACGATTTTGTATCATGTCATGACTCGAACATTAAGCATCAATGGAAAATGTTTTGCATTATATTTATGATTTAACATCAAACATGTATAAAAAATATTTTATATTGTGCTTATGATTTAAAATAAAGCATCTATGAAAATTTTATTTTGTATTATGCTCGTGATTTAAATTTAAGCATGTATGAAAAATGTAATTTGAATTGTGCTTGTGACTAGCATTAAGCAAGTTTGAAAATTATAATTTTGTGGTATGTTTGTTATTTAGCTTCATGTTAGCATCACATTGTGAGTCATTTTGCACAGCATCACTTGCATTTTACGCATCATGTGTGCATATATGAGCATGTTCCCACATGCTCAAGTTGGATGAAATGACCCCCTCTGCATTGTACTCACATATAGAATGTCATTCCATCAATGTTATAGTTAATTATACTTAGCTCGAGCTTCCATATCATGTAAAACCACTTAACATATCACTATTGACTTCTCATACCTAGTTCAAGCAATCATATCACGCTAAACCACCTTGCATTTTACATCATTCTCGCCTAGCATGTTATTGATGGCAAATCACATTTTTAGATGTGTGACTCGGTGTTAGTTGCAATACTTTAATAAGCATATTTATTGCGATCAGCATGTGTATGATTGCACTAAGAATCCAAGAGATCTAAAATATGTCACTTGGGTTGTCTAGACACGTATATGAGATCGTACTTTAAAAATTAAAAATATTTATCTTTCTATTAATATTATCCATCATAAATCAAATCTATTATAAAACTAAAACATATATGATTTTGACCTTAAGGGAGGCTGACCCCTTTGAAATGTATTTTACTTAAAATTTTCATCTTATAGTGACACATTTTAGCATTTTTGGACATTTAGAATGAGGCTAGTATCAGTAACCCCATCAAAATCATACCTTATCCTCAACCACACTTTTTGCACACAAGTAGATATATGTAATTAGAACACTATGGTTTAGATGCTTCTTTAGAATATGGTGGTCCATGTTGCTTGTGTGCACCCCTTTGTGCAAGCGCAAGACAGAAACATAACACCATGCGTGAACGGTTGTACCAACATGTGCACACAAAGCACTCGCATGCGCACACCGGCGCAAGCACAAGCACAGCCCACGCAACAAGCCCGCACGTCACTGCGCCCTTGCTTGCGCTCAGACTCACCAGTGGAGACCACTACATCCTTGGGCATATTATTGTGCTCAAGTGCTCTCATGCGTATACACGTGCACCTATGCTTCCAGACAATTTCCACCATCGGACTAACATCACGAGCTACAACCACCGTAGCACAACCGTGATCAAACAGATACTGAGCCACAATTTCCACTGTTATTGGGTCGTCGCTGCAAATGGTGATAGTGACAATAGGATTGTTTTATTTAGAAGTATATATTTCACCATTTTTTTACATTTTTGATTCAAATTTGGCCATCTTCAAAATTCCAAGAAGCTTCCATAAAAGAATTTAGCAAATTTGAAAATGTCGAAGATTTTTGTTCAAACCAAATAGCAAAGTTTTAGAATATGTAGAATAATGATGGAGAATTTTCAAATGACTTATATTTTTGAAAGACATACACAACGACTTTTAGAAATGGGCGGTAATTGATGTGTCATCAATATTTTTTTATATACAGGCATGAATCACAATTCATTTTTTATAAGAAATCTTTCAAATTAAAATTAACGATCATCCAAGCTCCAATTTCATCAAACCTATAATCAAATTGAGCGTTTGGACAAGACGAACAAATCAAAAATTGATTTAATAGGGTCCTATTAAGCCTAGATCAAGCCGTTAAAAGCATATTTGGAGGCTTTGTACCGTCAACCGAATTGTCAAATGAACACCAAATTTGAAATATTTATAGTTAAATCAAGCATCTCGACCAGACCAATCCAAAAACCTAAGATTGTTCAATTATGATGCCATTAAGGCGGCCAAATTCTTAAAAAATCACTTATGAACACGGTAGATCAGCATGAACCATTTGACCACGTAGTTAGGGATGTTATGCGGCAAAATATCAAAATGTCCCTCACTAAAAAAAATAATAAATAGACCCCCTCTCTTGACTTAGAGGGAAGAAAAAGATAAGAAGGATAAATGAAATTTCAGAGCTTATTAGAGAGAAGACCCAACAAGTAACCATTGACTTATGTAGCTACCAGCTGTCATTGACTTCCATAGCCATTGGCCTCTGTCAACCACAACATGCCATCATCAGTAGCTATTGTCGACCACCGACCGTTCGAGAGAACTACTTGCAATCATTGTAGCCAAACTACAATTGTTGTTAAATTTCTTAACACTTGTATTCGACATAAAGACAAGCATGGTTTTTAGTATAAGATTGTAACCCCGTTGAGTCTATTGAGAGAGAAGGATATAATCCTGCACCTACAAACATATAGTGTAATACTTGGCCAGGGCTAGACCACACATAATTTTTTTCCATTCAGAACTTTTTTCAATTAAAAAATCTTGTATCTCCATTTGCTATATTTTCTTATTTGTGTACGTTAATTTCTCATACAACAACTATAAATGCTACTCTACCTCTACAAATTTTTTGAGACAGTAAATAAAACAATAAGAATTTTTAAAATAATTTTAATATATTCGAAAAAATAAACGTTGAAGATTTTGATTATTATGGTGGAAATTTATAAGTAAAACGAAGATAGTGTAATAGAACGTAGCCGAAGTAAAAAATCAAATTGGCATTAGAGAGTAAAATTAGCCCAATATTACATAACATCATGAATGCTTTCATTTTTATTTTAAGACAAATTTACGTAAAATTATGAAGATTTATAAAAAATACTCCTATCATCCTGTTAGAAAAAGAAAATTTTAATAAACAACACGAATTGAATATCATAAAATTAAAGAGAAATTTTGTGCCAATCTATATATATGAGAACCAGAAAGGATGTGTGGAGTAGTCATGGAACAATCATAACTCATTTAAGATCTAATTCTATGTTATTATACAATCAAGAAAATAAGAAATATCATTATAGTTGAGCAAACATGAGATGTTTTAAGACACGGAAACTTTTTTCAAAGAATGATTACTTTATTTTTGTTTGTTCGTGTAAAAACAAAAACATTATAATTGAACAATTCAAATTGAAATCAAAATTTCATTTGTGCTATATCTAATTAAATATGCTCAACTTTAATGAACTCCATTATTGAATTATAATTTAGCGTATTTAGGCACTCACCACAAAAGGAATAATAGGGAGCCATAACTCAACACGAAAATCTGCAAAAATTGCCACAAATATATGTAGATCAGAATTTAATATATTACAAAGCACAAAGTTAATTTGAAATAATAAAATGCCCTTATTTTGAATTTTATTAAGAGATTTGGCACGTATTTGTAATATCTCCCTAAAAACTGTTATTTCTCCTCACCAAAAAAAAATTCCTGTCGGTTTTTTAACATACTAATACATATTTTTTTTGCAGGAACATGAAATGGAAAAAAAAAGAAATGAGACAATAACAATCAACCGCATGGTTGTCGGTAACCTTGCAAATAATAAATTAAGCAGTTTAATAATCATTTTTTGAAGAAAATGAAGCTCATCATTAATGGGTGATAATGAAAAACTGACTGACATGCCTATTGGGGTTTAGCCTCACGATATCGAGAAAAAAAGAGAAAAAAAAACATTCTTGATGTGGTTGATCCTTCATTCACATTGAATTAATAAGCTGTTGTGGTAGGTTTAATAAAAATGTGTTATTCAAAAATTAAATTTAAATTATGTAGATAAAAAAAGTTTCAATTATTCACATTGAAATTTAAATTTAAATTTATGAAACACACACGCACCCCTACGCACACGCGCACGCACATATATATATGATTGATAATTTAATTTTAGAGCTTACAAATAGAATAAGCATCCAAATCTTTTAATAAATATGTAGTACTTTTTCATTCATAAATCGCAACACTTGGACATTTAAATAAATTTTTAATTCAACAATTGATTTTGAAAATTTTGACTAATACACACAATTGGTGAAATACTTTTGATATTTATTTTTTTAAGAGAAAAATGTATGAAAATTTGTAGCTTACAAAATTACTCCCACCGAGAGAACCACTTCTATTCGCGGGATGCTCACTTGAAGACAATCAAAAGAGAATTAACATTAATTTAAAGCTTGTTGGAACCCTCATTTATTCATTCAAAGGCAACAATGGACGCAATGGAGTTTAAGGAAAAGCGAACTTCATGAGACCAATTGTATGCAATGATGCTCATGGGCAAGGCATCATGGGGCCGACAACATGTGGTGAAACACAGTAGTTTGTGAGACTGATGTGAAGGAGAAGAAAAGTTCATGGGATCGACATCATAAGAGATTGAGTTTGTATGGAAGACATCATGAGATCCAAGATATGCGAAAGAGAAGAGTTCATCACAACACTTAAATGTGAGACGGGGCTTGCAAAAAAGGCATTACAAAAACAGTGGAATGTGAAGGAGAGGAGTTTTGGAGAACAATAGCATGCGGCAAAGCTCAAGCTAAAGGCATTGTACAACCAATGGCATATGAAGGATAAAAGAAGTTAAATGGAGTAGAGATGTGCATGAATTTCACTAGGAAGCCATTTCAAGATAGATGATGTATGAGAGATAAGAGGAATCCGTGGGAGCAGTGGTGTGTAATGGAGATCACTTGGGAAGGTATCGCAAAGACAACGCCGTGCGAAGTAAAGGAGTTCTCTTGACCAACTCAAAAATGATGCGAATGATATGCAATTTTACGTTAGAATGAATAGGTTTTATTTATGATAACTTTCATAAGCAATTTCCAAATACAAAAAACAAGTGTTCATTATAATGGATGTAAAGTTAGGTTTCCCTTATCAAATCAATTAATCCATATCTTATGCCACACTTTATGGCTTCGTAAGGTCTTACAACTGACTTAGAACTAGTTTGGAATATAGTTGAGTTAGCTTCAAACAAACTCAAAATATAAATAATACTATATTTTAAAATTGATCTCTCACTTTCTCTCTCACTCTCTCCCTCTATATGTGTGTGTGAGTTATTAACATGTTTAAAAAAGAAATTTACAACCTAATTTTATCCAAATTAGAGCCAAAATATGATTGGGTTGATTCAAACCAGTTTTAATCAAACAAGATAACTTACAATTAGGATGATTCTCACCCTATAGTTGCGTGAACGACAACACACTGCATTGCAATGACAGATTGTGTGATTGTTTCATGGTTTGATCTTGTATTAGCACAACAATAACTATGCACGTGCCAATGTAAAATTTGAACTTATTGAATGCAATAAACAAGCATATGCCACACTTTATGGCTTTGTAAGGTCTTACAGCTGACTTAGAACTAGTTTTGAATATAATTGAGTTAGCTTCAAACAAACTCAAAATATAAATAATACTATATTTTAAATTTAATCTCTCACTTTCTCTCTCACTCTCTCCCTCTATATGTGTGTGTGAGTTATTAACATGTTTAAAAAAGAAATTTACACCTAATTTTATCCAAATTAGAGCCAAAACATGATTGGGTTTATTCAAACCAGTTTTAATCAAACAAGATAACTTACAATTAAGATGATTCTCACCCTATAGTTACGTGAACGACAACACAATGCATTGCAATGACAGATTGTGTGATTGTTTAATGGTTTGATCTTGTATTAGCACAACAATAACCATGTACATGCCAATGTAAAATTGGAGCTTATTGAATGTAATAAACAAGCATGCAGACATGTGCAACAACACTACAAAATGTAAATGTTGGATCCAAGAACAAGATAACTTACAATTAGGATGATTCTCACCCTATAGTTGCGTGAACGACAACACAATGCATTGCAATGACAGATTGTGTGATTGTTTGATGGTTTCATCTTGTATTAGCGCAACAATAACCATGTACATGCCAATGTAAAATTGGAGCTTATTGAATGCAATAGACAAGTGTGCAGACATGTGCAACAACACTGCAAAATGTAAATGTTGGATCCAATTTTATAGATGCTAATGCTCGACGCTTAGATAGATTCCATAAAATAACAGCAAAAAAGTTAAGTTAAAAGAGGAAAATAAAATCAGCTAGAAGAAGAAAAAAAGATTTAGAGATTTCATAACTTCATACTAGGAGAAGTACAGTATTGCCTCTTGTTTCCTCAGAATAACTCATTTGACCAGGCATTTACAGTCTTTGGGTGATGTGATAGAGGCTTTATTTTGATCTAATTAAAAATATATTGTATATTCATTATAACAACATTAACACAATGCAAGAATATATGCATGCTTCATTGTTAAGTGATTGGGAGAAGTAGTCGACTCAAAAAATCGAGTTGCCACTTTTGATTTTGATTTTCTTATGACGCCCTAGCCAAGTGTTTTAGGGCAAGTGAGTGCCCAATAGAATTATGTTTGAAGAATGGATGATGAGTGTCATTTAAGCTTGGCCCCTTCAACTTGCATGGTTCAGTTCTTTTTGAAAAGGATTCCTTTGAAATAAGTGAACGTCCTTAAAACTTAAATCCTTTGATTCAGTCAAAATTTCTCTAAAAATAATCTCTCTAATTTGGGTGAAATGCTTCACTGACTTTAGAAGCTTTGGGCAAGTAAACTTGGGAGCCACTGCATCTCTGATTATTGGCTAGTTCACCAAGTCTCTTTTACATTTTCAAAAATTATATATTTGAATAAAATTTTAATTTTCTGATTCTCTTGCATTATAGAGAGTGGCTTGTAAAAAGAATAAGATAATAAGATCCTACTTTTATTTTTATAATCGTATTTATGGATTAGTGAAAGAAAGATAATCATAAATTTTATCTTATATTATTCTCAAGTTAGGAATAATCCTCTCATTTAATATTTTAATAGTGTGTTCATATGATCTCACAAAATGCTAGTAATCATAGACACTAATAAATATGGATGGGCACCATTGAGTTTCCCATTTATTTTAAGAGCAACTCCAAATTTGCTTTTGATGGTTGAATGACTTCCATATAGGATTATAAATACTACTAAATATGAATTATGCAAAAACAATCTTCACAAGTTGAGGTGAACTTTTCTGGATGATTAAAAGTTGAAGTTGAATTGAATTATAGAGAGTAGTAACAAAATGATATTGAAGGATAGTGCAAGCAGGGTAAATAATGATATTGAGGGATACTTTGCCAAGATGTTCATCAACTATACCACATCTAAAGTTCTCATAGCATGTCCAATTGCTTAACTTGGTGGTTTTGTTTTAAATAATATTTTTTTTTTAAAAAGAGTTATATAATGTAATATACTAGAATATTAAAACTTATATTATTTTTAATTTTACTTTTATATAGGACTAGAAAGTAAATTTATACTCTGAGTTATGAGGATGACTAATTTCCTTCATTAGAAAATTATCTCAAGGAGCATTATGTTAAACATTGCATCATTTTCCACTAATGTTCACTGTCCCGTTCTGAGCTCAACCATATGAGCGCACTAATGTCATTTTTTGTTTTAAATGTAAAAAAAGCACATTTATAATTAGTACATAAATAAATTTAATTTAAAAAAAAGAGTCCCAACCTAAGAAATATGATATATTTTAAATGAAGATCTTTTAAAAAAATTATTTTGATGAAACACTAATGATTGCTATAAGATGCCCTATGATGAACAAGTTAAATTTGGGAAAACAGTTGATCATATAATTTTTTTAAATGAAAACTACTATTTTAAGAATAGATATAAGGTCATGATTGATGTTTTGAATGTAATAAATTTTATCTCCATCAATATCCTAATTTGAGCAAAAATAAAATTTGGACATCATTATAAGCATTTTAAGTTTAATTGCATTAATGCCACCACTCTACATGTGACTTTAAGATGTCTTATCTTGCTTAAAATGAGTAGTAACAGAAATTGGATTTGTGTGTTGCCTAACAAAGAATATAACATATATTATATTACATAGATCATGGTTATATGATAGCGATGTAATTCACTATGGATCATATATCATCTATGTACTTAAGTTAATAATAATACTATCAAGCTTCTTCTATAAAATCATAAGCAAAATAGACAATATTTTCCTTTTAAAAATCTCTTTTGACATAATATATGTTACTTCATTAAAACAATTAGTAAATTACTATCACATACTTTATTAAAAAGGCCTCCCCTTACGACCGACCTCCTACTCAGATCCATATATAATAATTGGGTTTAAAA